ATAAATGTAAAGTGAACATTCAAGATCTTTAAAAAGAGTCAAACATTTACAAAGCGGTTGACAGTCAAACAGCAGGTTCGGCAGTTGCAGGCAGAGGTAATGCAGCATGACTGCTGTTGGAAATGCTTCAGTCCATTTCGTATGAGCAGACATTTGTGTTTCTTGTTGGTTCTCATGGCCATGGCTACCTTGCATGCACTGAAAACAGTACACACCTTTAGTCCACTGGGATTATAAATGACAGGACTATTTTTACCTGCATGGTCCTCACAAGCTATTGTGAAGAATGCTTCAATAACAGCTGATGATTTCCATCCCATGCACCGAAGCTAATTACTTGATCTTTTTTTTTTACACTAAGTAACATGTGGCAATAATAATATACAGAATAGAACCATGTCTGTGTTTCTGATTCATGCTCTCAGTGGAAGTACTAACACAGTGAGCCGGTTTGTGAACTTTGTGGTTGAGTTCCTCTCTTACAACCTTTTTTCCAAGACTGATTATATCCACTCCTACAGGAGGAGATGACATCATGTATCACATAAAAATAGGCGCTAACCCTATCATCAGAAGGGGATGGAAAGAGCTACTAGTTTCCTCCTCCTGTTTTTTTTGTATGTGATCATGTGACAGTGCTGGAAGTTTTTAAACATTTTCTGAATATCTTTTTAAATATTATGATATGTCTCTATCTAAGGATATTAGGGCTCAATTCAGATTAAACTTCACTGATGTATTTACTGCTAATGAGGAACTGAGCCATCACACTAGTATGGAAAAAAAGGATACACTATAGATAAGTACATAGCTTTTAGGTCGTGTTGTATACTCTGACCTAGAAATCCTCTGTGTGACGCCCCTCTGTGAGCAGGTCTCTCCCTGCGGGAGCCTGATAGGTGGAGTTTGGTCGTCAGGAGGATTCCGCTCACCTGGTCTGGCTGCACTATATAACCTGGTGGCAGTCAGTCTCTCTCCCCTTGTTTTCACCCTGTTTGGGTTTGTTGTGTTTTGTTTGCCTTTAGATTGATTTCCTTTTCAGTTGTATAAAACAAACTTATTTTTAGCTATAACTCGTGTGTGGTCTTCCCTTATTTGTCTGACCTTGAGCCGGGTTGTGACAAATTGGGGACTCGTCCAGGATGAAGTAGTTTGGTAAGATATTGTTTAGTCTTGTGGTAGTTTGGCCTGGTTCAGTTTGTGTTGGGCTACCACCTGTGGCGATGGAGGTTTGTCAGTTAGTGTGTAGGCATTTGGTGCTCCGGTATGTCTGCCCACTTGTCAAAATTCATCCGGGAAGTGTCACACATGATTGCAGTAATATTATAGAATTTTTTTTGTCTCTGTTTTGGTTGAAATTTGGACTGTGTTACTCCATTTTGCATTTTGGTTTAAAGTGTCCGTTTGGTTACTGGTGTTTTCTCCCGTTAGGTTTTGGTGCAGTCCTGTAGTCAGATTATTGCAACTTGATCTCTTGAGTTGGAAGTGGGTAGAGCTATCTGCTCGGGATAACAACTGTGGCTTTCTTATGCATAGCAGGGATTTCCTGGACCCACTGGTTTTCAGTGAATGAGTTCGTTATTCATCAGTAGCTGCCTGATGACTAGTGTTGCGCTTACCTGTTGTTAACCTAGGTTTGGGGGAAGACTTATGTTTTTTTGGTTTTGTTGATGCACATTGGGATTCTGGGCTCTATTCCAGAAAGCAGCTTTAACAAACTGACTCTAACCCTGAACTCTGAGTTGATGAATCCTGAGATGGGAAACTCAGTTTCCGGTTCCAGAACAGCTGATCTGAGTCAGTTCAATCAACTGAGTATGTTGACTCTGAGTTAACCGTGTGCATGAGGAATATGAAATGCCATCAATGGATCTCCGATTCACTATAGTAACAGTTAAATAAAGAGCAGAGCCTCCATTTTAATCCAGTGGAACCAGACAGATGATTATGTGTGACATTAAAGCATGTTTATTTCTAGGAAGAGAGGAAAAAAAAAAAGCAGCAGTAATGAAAGAGTCTGAGCTGGGGAAAAGAGTCATTTAGTTCAAACTCATACATCTTATTCAGTGTTGTCCACTAGACCATGTTATTTATCAGACTTTTATTCCCAAAGCAGATGGAACCTGCTGTTTGTTAGATTATGTTTAGATATATTTATTCAGATGTAACCTGATGTGGACCAAGTTGTGCTGCAGCAGAAGATGAAAATATAAATGAAACTGATCAGACAGAAGTTTCTAGATCCATGATTGTAACCTCAGATTCTGACCCAGGAACAGCTTGATGATTTTGGTGATTCTCAGTTGAAAAAGTGTCGAGGTTAAAGCTTTAAAAATCTTGCTCAGCACCTTCAATGACTTTATTTGAACATGTAGTAAATTTATATACATTGACTGAAATGCTGTGAAAACAGTTTCAGCAGCCGGTATTCAAAACCTCACTGTTAAACTACATTTAGCCCAGTTTTTAAATGTTAAAGTATTTTCAGCTGCATTACTGTGATCCTCAGTTCAGAAGTATCATTATCTACAGCATGATATGACAGCTGTGATAGGACTGTTCATCAGTGCAACCAATTAGAACATGAGAAATAATCCTTCATAGACCAGAGTCGTGTGTCTCAAGCTTCAGATTTCTTTTATTTTTTTTACAGTGATGAACGTTCAGTAAATGTTTCAGTGCATAGGAGCTGATTGACAGTCTGACAGGTGTCTTAATGTCCACAGAGTCTGAGTTATAAAGACAGACAGGCAGATTTGAATTTGATCTGAGGATGAAGCCTCCATGTGTAATATTTGAGATCTCTGTCCTCACACTGACTGACTGATCATAAAAGAGGTCGTTCGAAAACACAGGTCTTGGGTAGCCTATAACAAACGAATGACAAATGGAGATTTTAATCTTCTCCCAATGTAAACTTCTTTAAATGAATGTCTCCGATCCGCAGTTTGACACAGACAGTATGAATGAGGAAATGATGTGCTGTGTCAGAAGCTTCTTAAATCACAGCAGGAGGGCGGAGACTGACAGAAACTCAGGGTTTGTTTAAGAAAACCTGCCAGTGAGCAGGTTAGCTTCACAGTTACCATGGTAACTGACTCAGAGTTAAAGGGATCACAGTTTCTGGAACGGAAAACCCAGAGTTTCCCTCATCTCAGGGTTAAGAAACTCAGTTTTCACTAAACCTGCTTTCCGAAATAGACTCCTGGTTTCATATCAGGTTTGTTTAATGGTGGGGGTTAGTTGCGATCCCAGTTTGTTTCCAGACGAGGCCCAATGTCAATGTCAATGTCAATGAGGGAAGACCACACATAAGTTATAACAAAAAAAATTATTTCACAAAACTAAAAAGGAAATCAATCTATAGACAAACAAAACCAAACAGCGAGACTGGCTGGTTGTCACCAGCTTATATAGTGCAGCCAAACCAGGTGAGATGAATCGTCCTGACGACCAAACTCCACCCATCAGGCTCCTGCAGGGAGAGGCCTGCTCTGAGCAGGTCGTCACATTTGTGAGCTTGAAATCCTATATCCAACAAATTAATAATTTAAAATACTTTAAGTATTTTACTTTAAGTTTTCATTTATTCTACACTGTCTGACAGTATCATGCATATTCAACAATAATATATATATAATATATATTCAACAGCAGTCATTTTGTTGCTAGATGTCGCCTAACAACAAAACATAACTATGGGTCATAATAACCTGCTGCACAGACAACCTATGGGCTCATTTTTTACAGGACAGTCTGTTTTTCATGGCTACACCTTTCCATCCAATGGAAATGTTCAAGATGTCCTGTTTATCATTTTATACACATCTCCACAAAATTTAACTGTTGGGATGTTTGGAAAAAACAATAGAACATATAAAAGCAAGAACAATGCTGAGCAAAAACATGTTTGTGTGGAAGAGATTTGACAAATATGAAACTTACTTTGCTTTTTCAGGACAGAGTTTCAAAGCTCTGGCCCCTGACCATAAAGGCCTTCATCCTGGATTTTGGAAAAACCTGAAGCATCCAAGGACGTGAGGCTGCCTACAGATCTTGGAAAATCAAGGTTTGTTATGTAGTTGGAAGACAGACCATGTTGTAAAGCTTATCAGTGCCATTCAAATTCAGTTTCATTTTCATTTTGCTAGGCTACTAATGTAATATATAATTGAAGAATTCAGACTGAATGATGGAAAGGGAACAATTAATTTTGAAACTATGGGCTTAACTATGGGTCATTCAATTATGAATCCCACCCTTAGTAGTGCCCATACACAAATAATAAATGTACATACCTCTATATTGAATTTCCATATATGAATTATAATTAATAGGAAATGAATAAGAAAATCACATAAACATATATAATTTTAAAACAATGCTGTTATGATAAAGAGTATTTCATATATGTTATAAACTTACATCTTCACATATCCAGAGGATGTATGTGATAATAATTTATCCTCTTTTAGGTGACACATATGGCAACGTCACTCTTGATATAGGGGCATGTATATCATATATTACATTTCTGTATGAGTATACCGCCATTTTATACACATATCTAATACACTAGCCCTGCAATAAAATTGCTGTGGTAGCGTTGTATTGTTTTACATTAAGAGAGGACATTACAGAGAGAAATGTTTGCCATATATTTTACCTTCAATAATACAGATTAGAAACACATCTTGGTAAAATACAACACAGTTCAGCAGACAAGTCCAAAACCACACCTTTCTAAAAATAAAATAAACATTATAATCTTAATGGAGGTAGAAATTATTGCAGGGATGATGAATTAGACTGCATTAATTTTAGCTAATGGAACCTGTTAAACTTGCAACTGACTACATTTTTTTTTGATACAGTACCCAGATACTAACATTATGAGCTTGTGAAAGAAAAGATTAGTAATGTAATTTACAGACAGTGCATGCAATATTCAAATCCAATTTAAGCAAATGTTTTTGTATTATAATGTTCTTTAGGCCAAGATGGACGGTCTAGAAATAAAGCAAAATGGCCACACAGAAGTCCACAGACCTGTGGCTGGCATATTTCTGGAGAACACAAAGGAGAAGATAACCATATATCAAGCCATGAAAAAACGTATGCTTAAGGCAGGAACAGCATTAGCCCTGCTTGAAGCACAAGCTGCCACAGGGGGCATCATAGACCCAAAAAACAACAGAGTACTTCCTGTTGCAGACGCTGTTAAAGAGGGAGTAGTTGGACCAGAGATGAAAGAGAAACTCCTCACAGCGGAGAAAGCCATCAGTGGCTATGTAGACCCCTACACCAAGCAAACAATATCTGTATTCCAGGCAATGCAGAAAGATTTAGTTCCAAGAGATTATGGATTGAGGCTTCTGGAAGCACAGATAGCCACACAAGGCCTGTTTGATCCCACTCAGAAGTCAAATATTTCAATTGAATCAGCGATTCAAAAGGGCTACTATGAGAAAGGTTTGCTCAACGACCAGATGTCAGAGCTCAAAGTGTTCTACCATCCAATCTCACAAGAAAATCTCAACTACCAGAACCTCCTAGAGAAATGTACTGTGGAGCCCGGCACAGACCTGCTGCTCCTTCCTGTCTGCATCACCTTCAAAGGTCTGCGAAGAGGCATTTCCTCCATTCAGCTCTTTGAATCAAAGATCATTGACAAAGGAACATTTGATGACCTACAGAAGGGAAAGACCACAACACAGGATGTGTTGCTGATGGAACAAGTTAAAGAATACCTGGTGGGCAAAGCCAGTATTGCAGGCATTGCGCTACTCTCAACCAATCAGAGAATGAGCATTTATGAAGCCATGAAACAACGCATACTCATGCCTGGAACAGCACTTGTTCTACTGGAGGCACAAGCTGCAACTGGATTCATGATTGATCCTGTCAAAAATAAAACCTACACTGTGGACGAGGCCGTCAAAATCAAACTTGTTGGCCCAGAATATCATGCAAGGCTGCGTTCAGCTGAGAAAGCAGTAACTGGATACAAAGACCCATACACAGGTGAAACTATATCCCTGTTTCAAGCACTGTCAAAAGACCTCATCGTTAAGGATCATGGGATCCGACTGCTTGAGGCGCAAATTGCTACAGGTGGAATAGTAGACCCAGTCAACAGTCACAGACTTCCAACTGAAGTGGCCTTCAAGAGAGGTTACTTTAATGAGGAAATGAATGCCATACTAGAGGATCCAGGGGATGACACAAAAGGGTTTTTTGATCCAAACACCGAAGATAATCTTACCTATCTTCAGCTGATGGAACGGTGCGTCACTGATCCAGTCACTGGACTGTGCCTCCTCCCACTCAATGGCAAGTCTGGCAGCTTGAATTTCAACTTCATTGACTACCAAAGTAAAATGGCCCTAAAAAATGAGAAGGTGAAAGTGACATGTGGGAAGTACATGGGAATGACAGTATCTCTGTGGGAACTGCTGATGTCAGAATACTTTGATGAACAGCAGAGGCAAGACATCATTCAGAAGTATAGAGAGGGGAAGCTCACTATAAAAATGACAATTACAACAGTTATGGAAGTCATAGAGAAGTCTGTAAAAACAACTAAAGTTGTCTTTGAAGGCATCAGAGGAACTGTCACGGCCAGTCAGCTTGAGGAGGCAGACATCATAACTAAAGACGTCTTGGAGGATCTGACAAAGGGAAAAAAGTCAGTGAAAGAGGTGATGGAAGATGAAAATGTAAATGTGTACTTGCAGGGGAAAGACAGTATTGCAGGTATCCTGCTTCCTGATTCTCAAATCATGACCATCTACCAGGCAAGACAGAAAGGAAAGCTGATGCCAGGAACTGCTCTCATTCTGCTAGAGGCACAGGCAGCAACAGGGTTCATTATTGACCCTATTGGAAACAGGAAGTTTTCAGTGGATGATGCTGTCAAAGCAAAAATTGTGGGGCCTGATATCTGTCAAAAACTGCGCTCAGCAGAGAAAGCAGTCACTGGGTACAAAGATCCATATGATGGTAAAATAATCTCCTTGTTCCAAGCAATGCAGAAAGACCTCATCCTACAAGATCATGGAATTCGGCTCCTGGAAGCACAAATTGCCACCGGTGGGATCATTGACCCAGTGAACAGCCATCGGATTCCTATCCATGTGGCCTACAAGAGGGGGTACTTCAATGAGCAAATGGATCAGATCCTGAGGGATCCAAGTGATGATACCAAAGGTTTTTTTGACCCCAACACTCACGAGAACCTGACATACTTGCAGCTCATGGCCAGATGTGTCACAGATCCCAGTACAGGTCTGTGTCTCTTGCCACTCAAAAGCAAAAGTAATAAAATTCACATTGATGATAATCTTTGTGAAACATTCAAAACAACAGTTACAGTTAAGTATGGAAGGTTCAAGGGCAAGCACACAACACTGTGGGATCTTATCAATTCAGAGTATCTGTCAGAGGACAAACGACAGGAGTTTTTTAAGCTCTTCAAATCAAGAAAAATCACAATTGAGCAACTCATCGTCACCATTTTAGAGATCATTGAAAATAAGGAGATAAAACAGCAAGCAGCGTTGAACTTTGAAAGTCTCAGAGGCAAGGTCTCTGTTGTGGATCTTCGGGAGGTTGGAATTGTGAATGAAACAACCTACAACAGTTTGATCGATGGAAAGCTGACAAGCACTGATGTACTGAAAATGGATAGCGTGAGAGACTACCTACAAGGAAAAAGTTGTGTAGCTGGTGTGATTCTGCAACCCTCCAATCAGAAGCTAAGCATCTATGAGGCACAGAAAATTGGTATTGTTACACCTGGCACTGCCCTTTGTCTCCTTGAAGCACAAGCAGCCACAGGGTTCATTGTCGACCCTCTGAAAAACAAAAAGCTTACAGTGGAACAAGCTCTCAGAGAAAAGATAATTGGTCCACAGATGTATGAAAAGCTGTTGACTGCAGAGAGGGCAGTCACTGGTTACACAGATCCGTACAATGGTCAAAAGATCTCACTTTTTCAAGCCTTGAAAAAGGATCTAATTGTCAAGCAGCATGGCATCCGATTACTTGAAGCCCAGATCGCTACAGGTGGTATCATTGATCCCTTGATGTGTCTTCATCTACCCCTTGAGGTTGCATACAAGAAAGGATATTTTGATGCAGAACTCAATCAAATCCTGACAGACCCATCTGACGACACAAAGGGTTTTTTTGACCCAAAGACAAAAGACAATCTGACATACATGGAGATGTTGGGCAGGTGTGTAAGAGATAAGGAAACAGGACTGTTTCTCCTGCCACTGGATGACAAACCTGGAACAAAGGCAGAAATGTATACTGACACAGAAATAAAAAAAGAGTTCGAAAAGACAGGTCTGAGCATATCAGTAGGACGCTACTCAGGAAAATCAGTTTCTCTATGGGACCTGATTCACTCTGGGTACTTCACCGAGGAACAACGGCTTGATTTAATTGAAAAATACAGAGCAAAGAAGATTACCACACACACCATAACCACACTCGTGATTTCCACCATTGAAAAACTGGAGAAGAGTAAAACTCCCAAAATGATAATGGGTCTGAGAAAGCCTGTCTCTGCAAATACACTACTGGATTCTGATATCCTCAATGCAGATACATTCAAACAAGTTAAAGAAGGAACACTCACTTTTGAGGCAGCAACCCAATGTGAATCTGTGAGAGGATACCTGAAGGGAACCGGAAGCATTGCTGGAATTAAGCGTCATCCCTCCAAAACAGTAATAAGCATATATGAGGCAAAAAGGGAAAATCTGTTAACACCAGGCATTGCACTTCTACTGCTTGAAGCGCAGGCTGCAACAGGATGGGTGATTGATCCTCTCAAAAACAAGTTCTATACTGTTGATGAGGCAGTGGGAGAGAAAGTAATTGGACCAGATGTACACGAGAACCTTCTCTCTGCTGAACGAGCTGTCACCGGCTATCAAGATCCATATACAGATGCAAAAATTTCACTGTTTGAAGCCATGAATGAACAGCTTATTCAGAGAAGTGATGGCAGCCGTCTTCTTGAGGCACAATTAGCAACTGGAGGAATCATTGACCCGAAACAAAGCCACAGACTACCTGTCCACATTGCTATTAAAAAGGGATATCTCAATGAAAAAATGAGCAAAATTCTGTTGAACCCGAATGATGATGCAAAGGGATTCTTTGACCCAAATACCAAAGACAAGATCTCTTACCACCAGCTGATAAAACAATGTGAGAAAGATCCTGAAACTGGGCTACTTCTTCTACCCTTGTATGAAGAGGAGTGCCATGTATTTCACACAGATGAACAAATAGAGCTTGCATTCAAAAACAAAACTGTTGCCATGCATGCAGGAAAATTTGAAAATAAGGTGGTGACATTGTGGGAAGTACTGCTCTCTGAATACATATCAGAGCAAAAGAGGAAGCAGCTCCTACAGCAATACAAGACAGAAGCCATGAAAATGGAGGAGATCATTGAAATACTCACAGTCATCATTACAGAGGTATCAACCAAAGAAAAAAAGTTCAAAGGACTAAGAAAGCAGGTTTCAGCCAGTGAGTTGTATGAATCAAAAATAATCTCAAAGGAGCTCTTTACGCAGATTATAAAGGGGGAAATCACTGATGAGAAAATTAAGAAAATGGAATCAATTCAAAAATACCTTGGAGCTACAAACAGTATAGCAGGAGTCAGAGTTGAATCTACAAAGAAAGTTATAAGCATCTATGAAGCCAGAAAAAAAGGCCTGATTGCCCCTGGCACTTCTCTTGTGCTGTTGGAAGCACAAGCAGCGACTGGTTTTGTCATTGACCCAGTCAACAACAAGAAACTTTCAGTAGAGGAAGCTGTGGCTCAAGGAGTGGTTGGCAGTGAGTGGAAAAACAAACTGCTTTCAGCAGAAAGGGCCGTAACAGGATACAAAGATCCCTACACTGGAAACACAATTTCTTTGTTCCAAGCTTTGAAAAAAGATCTCATTGTGAAAGATCATGGAATTCGTCTCCTTGAAGCGCAAATTGCAACTGGAGGAATAATTGATCCAGTCTACAGTCATCGAGTGCCAGTAAAGGTGGCATATCAAAGAGGTTACTTTGATGAGGAAATGAACCAGATCTTGTCTGATCCTGATGATGACACCAAGGGCTTCTTTGATCCCAACACTAAAGAGAACCTAACCTATCTCCAGCTGGTGGAGAGATGTGTCACAGACCCAAAAACGGGCCTTAACTTACTGTCCATTGTAAAGAAAGACGAATTTTATTTCTTTGTTGATGAGGCTACAAAACTCATTCTGAAATCTACAACAACAAACAAAGCAGGGGGGAAATACCAAGGAACAACAGTGTCTCTGTGGGATCTGCTCTACTCTAAATACATCACAGAGGAGAAGAGGAGAGAGCTTGTGCAACAGTACAAGTCTGGGTCAATCACAATTGATCGTCTTTTAGAGATTATCCTGACAATCATTCAGCAACAAACAAAATCAGACAGCAACACAACAAAAACTACCATCACCACTACTACAGTCACAGAGACATGTAAAGTTCCAGACTTCCATGGAATCAGGAAGGAAGTCAGTGCTACTGAGCTGCTTGAATCAAAAATCATCACTGAGGAACTCTACAAAGATCTTAGTTCTGGAAAAGTCACAGTGACGGAAGTGAGTGAAATGGATTCAGTAAGCAAGTACCTTGAGGGGACCAACAGCATTGCAGGGGTGTACGTGCAGTCTACCATGGAGACCCTGAGTATCTTCGAAGCCAAAGGTAAAGGCCTGCTGACTCCTGGTACTTCTCTGGTTCTGCTGGAGGCCCAAGCTGCCACTGGCTTTGTCATTGATCCAGTGAACAACAAGAAACTTTCAGTAGAGGAAGCTGTCGCTCAAGGAGTGGTTGGCAGTGAGTGGAAAAACAAACTGCTTTCAGCAGAAAGGGCCGTAACAGGATACAAAGATCCCTACACTGGAAACACAATTTCTTTGTTCCAAGCTTTGAAAAAAGATCTCATTGTGAAAAATCATGGAATTCGTCTCCTTGAAGCGCAAATTGCAACTGGAGGAATAATTGATCCAGTCTACAGTCACAGAGTGCCTGTACAAGTGGCATATGAAAGAGGTTACTTTGATGAGGAAATGAACCAGATCTTGTCTGATCCTGATGATGACACCAAGGGCTTCTTTGATCCCAACACTAAAGAGAACCTAACCTATCTCCAGCTGGTGGAGAGATGTGTGACCGATCCCATCACTGGCTTTAGCTTACTGGTCATTGTGAAGAAAGGCGAGTTTTATTTCTTTGTTGATGAGGCTACAAAACTCATTCTGAAATCTACAACAACAAACAAAGCAGGGGGGAAATACCAAGGATCAACAGTGTCTCTGTGGGATCTGCTCTACTCTAAATACATCACTGAGGAGAAGAGGAGAGAGCTTGTGCAACAGTACAAGTCTGGGTCAATCACAATTGATCGTCTTTTAGAGATTATCCTGACAATCATTCAGCAACAAACAAAATCAGACAGCAACACAACCAAAACTACCATCACCACTACTACAGTCACAGAGACATGTGAAGTTCCAGACTTCCATGGAATCAGGAAGGAAGTCAGTGCTACTGAGCTGCTTGAATCAAAAATCATCACTGAGGAACTCTACAAAGATCTTAGCTCTGGAAAAGTCACAGTGACAGAAGTGAGTGAAATGGATTCAGTAAGCAAGTACCTTGAGGGGACCAACAGCATTGCAGGGGTGTACGTGCAGTCTACCATGGAGACCCTGAGTATCTTCGAAGCCAAAGGTAAAGGCCTGCTGACTCCTGGTACTTCTCTGGTTCTGCTGGAGGCCCAAGCTGCCACTGGCTTTGTCATTGATCCAGTGAACAACAAGAAACTTTCAGTAGAGGAAGCTGTCGCTCAAGGAGTGGTTGGCAGTGAGTGGAAAAACAAACTGCTTTCAGCAGAAAGGGCCGTAACAGGATACAAAGATCCCTACACTGGAAACACAATTTCTTTGTTCCAAGCTTTGAAAAAAGATCTCATTGTGAAAGATCATGGAATTCGTCTCCTTGAAGCGCAAATTGCAACTGGAGGAATAATTGATCCAGTCTACAGTCACAGAGTGCCTGTACAAGTGGCATATGAAAGAGGTTACTTTGATGAGGAAATGAACCAGATCTTGTCTGATCCTGATGATGACACCAAGGGCTTCTTTGATCCCAACACTAAAGAGAACCTAACCTATCTCCAGCTGGTGGAGAGATGTGTGACCGATCCCATCACTGGCTTTAGCTTACTGGTCATTGTGAAGAAAGGCGAGTTTTATTTCTTTGTTGATGAGGCTACAAAACTCATTCTGAAATCTACAACAACAAACAAAGCAGGGGGGAAATACCAAGGATCAACAGTGTCTCTGTGGGATCTGCTCTACTCTAAATACATCACTGAGGAGAAGAGGAGAGAGCTTGTGCAACAGTACAAGTCTGGGTCAATCACAATTGATCGTCTTTTAGAGATTATCCTGACAATCATTCAGCAACAAACAAAATCAGACAGCAACACAACCAAAACTACCATCACCACTACTACAGTCACAGAGACATGTGAAGTTCCAGACTTCCATGGAATCAGGAAGGAAGTCAGTGCTACTGAGCTGCTTGAATCAAAAATCATCACTGAGGAACTCTACAAAGATCTTAGCTCTGGAAAAGTCACAGTGACAGAAGTGAGTGAAATGGATTCAGTAAGCAAGTACCTTGAGGGGACCAACAGCATTGCAGGGGTGTACGTGCAGTCTACCATGGAGACCCTGAGTATCTTCGAAGCCAAAGGTAAAGGCCTGCTGACTCCTGGTACTTCTCTGGTTCTGCTGGAGGCCCAAGCTGCCACTGGCTTTGTCATTGATCCAGTGAACAACAAGAAACTTTCAGTAGAGGAAGCTGTCGCTCAAGGAGTGGTTGGCAGTGAGTGGAAAAACAAACTGCTTTCAGCAGAAAGGGCCGTAACAGGATACAAAGATCCCTACACTGGAAACACAATTTCTTTGTTCCAAGCTTTGAAAAAAGATCTCATTGTGAAAGATCATGGAATTCGTCTCCTTGAAGCGCAAATTGCAACTGGAGGAATAATTGATCCAGTCTACAGTCACAGAGTGCCTGTACAAGTGGCATATGAAAGAGGTTACTTTGATGAGGAAATGAACCAGATCTTGTCTGATCCTGATGATGACACCAAGGGCTTCTTTGATCCCAACACTAAAGAGAACCTAACCTATCTCCAGCTGGTGGAGAGATGTGTGACCGATCCCATCACTGGCTTTAGCTTACTGGTCATTGTGAAGAAAGACGAATTTTATTTCTTTGTTGATGAGGCTACAAAACTCATTCTGAAATCTACAACAACAAACAAAGCAGGGGGGAAATACCAAGGATCAACAGTGTCTCTGTGGGATCTGCTCTACTCTAAATACATCACTGAGGAGAAGAGGAGAGAGCTTGTGCAACAGTACAAGTCTGGGTCAATCACAATTGATCGTCTTTTAGAGATTATCCTGACAATCATTCAGCAACAAACAAAATCAGACAGCAACACAACCAAAACTACCATCACCACTACTACAGTCACAGAGACATGTGAAGTTCCAGACTTCCATGGAATCAGGAAGGAAGTCAGTGCTACTGAGCTGCTTGAATCAAAAATCATCACTAAGGAACTCTACAAAGATCTTAGCTCTGGAAAAGTCACAGTGGCGGAAGTGAGTGAAATGGATTCAGTAAGCAAATACCTTGAGGGGACCAACAGCATTGCAGGGGTGTACGTGCAGTCTACCATGGAGACCCTGAGTATCTACAAAGCCAAAGGTAAAGGCCTGCTGACTCCTGGTACTTCTCTGGTTCTGCTGGAGGCCCAAGCTGCCACTGGCTTCGTCATTGATCCAGTGAACAACAAGAAACTTTCAGTAGAGGAAGCTGTGGCTCAAGGAGTGGTTGGCAGTGAGTGGAAAAACAAACTGCTTTCAGCAGAAAGGGCCGTAACAGGATACAAAGATCCCTACACTGGAAACACAATTTCTTTGTTCCAAGCTTTGAAAAAAGATCTCATTGTGAAAGATCATGGAATTCGTCTCCTTGAAGCGCAAATTGCAACTGGAGGAATAATTGACCCAGTGCACAGTCACAGAGTGCCTGTACAAGTGGCATATGAAAGAGGTTACTTTGATGAGGAAATGAACCAGATCTTGTCTGATCCTGATGATGACACCAAGGGCTTCTTTGATCCCAACACTAAAGAGAACCTAACCTATCTCCAGCTGGTGGAGAGATGTGTGACCGATCCCATCACAGGCCTTAGCTTACTCCCCTTGCACAGGTGAGGGAAAGGAAACCTTCTTAAATGATTATTCTTGTCTTTTTTCCAGTATGTGATTTTTTACTAACTACTGATGCTAGTAGTCACAAAACAACTTCACCGCATTTGTTTTAGAGTTTCAGTTTTAGTCAAGCCAAGGCTGTTTTCAAAGAAATATGGAGAAAAATACTGTATTGTGCTGAATACTTTTCCTTCCTTAAAAAATAGAGCAAGCAATGAATTTAAAAAAAACTTCTTATTCTATCACAGGAAGCAGTGTTTTGTTTCAAGGTTTTGATCACCATGAGGACTAAAGTCCTTTTGAAACAGCAAGCACTTTTATTGGTTTTCAATCTCTATTTTTACTGAATTCTGATCATCTTTGACTATATACGACAGTAACTGGTATAAAAACATTTTGGATTTATGATACTTTTCCTTGGTTAATGTTACTTCATGTTATTTGTTGTATCCATGGGTTTTACTGTTTCCACACAGTTGTAACTAGATGGGTTCAGCTTAACCTGCTTTCACATCACATATAGAAGCTCAACTTAGTTATGTTGTACTGTACTTGGGCAAAAACCTTCCTTTACACACAAATACATTGTGTGTCTTAAATTAGTGAAATGTGACTACAATGAATATAGTTTTGCATTGCCTGCTTTGACTCACCCTGGGAGCAAACCACGCATTTGTTTTTTTTCTACACTTTTACAACATTCATTGCTCATATTGTTTCATTGTGCAGCCCAATAAATAAATGAGATATGAATACTATATCTTGTCTTGTCTTTTTTTTCCAATTGTTTGATTTGTTTCAAATTGTTATCTATCTGGTCATTTTGGTTTACACAGGATATACAGGACAAGAATTTCATGAAGTCCAGCCAAAGCATCCTGATTAATTTCAATTCAACAATAAAGCAAATCATAAGTAAACATGTCTAGTTTTCAAAAAATGGGAAATGTCTTTTATGAAACGTACATGGATACTTGAATGAACACTGCAAGACATATTTTCAACTTTATAGTGACATGTTGAACATTTTATTATTTTCAAATATTTATTGGCAAACTTTTGATTGGAATTATGGTAACTTTAAAAAAGACTAAAATATGAAAATCCCAGAAATCCGGGTATAGATTAAATGTCCCTGTAGGTTTATGATTGAGGTGATTCATATAAATGTGTTCTAACTGACATTCATACAGCACCAATAGGTTTTCTCACTGGATTCCTAGCCCCTAGCTTTCTGCTTTCTAGCAATAAGGAGTGTATTTGCTTCTGTTTTGTTTGAACAACAACGCTACCGGTCAAAGGTTTTTAGAACACCTCCATTTTTCCAGTTGTTACTGAAATTTAGAGTGTAATAAATCAGTGTACTCTGATATTAAAGGCTAGAACAAATAAATAATTAAAATTTAAGAATCATACAATCTTAAATTCTAAATCCTTTTTGACTCATCTAGCAGCACAACACACCTGTGGCGTTCTTTCTACAATGGAAATGAAACATTGTTTTATTAAGTTTGTTGCAACACTGTGTGAGTAATCAACAAAAGTTGGTGCTTAATTTACTTCAATTTCTGCAGGAAAGCTGGAAGTTTAGCAATTCCTTAATCCCTAGATCCCTATGAAATTTAGATGATTTTTCACTTTTTGGTGACATAGTTTTATTGTATTTTACCTTTGGAAGTTTACCACTTACTTTTGCACCATTTAAAGTTATTTGCTGGACTTGAGCTGCTGAAATTTTGATAAAAACTAGAAAAATGGGTTGTTCTAAAACTTTCTGACCAGTAGTGTACATATAAAGCAATATATACACTACAACAACAACACCTGAGGGTAAAATAACCAAATTACTTAAACAACATAATCCATGGACAGGAGTATTTAAAGACATTTCAGGTGTGCTTTGTAAATTCAGTTTATGATTTCCGGAATGAAATGAATATCTGAACTATACTACAATTTTTCCAGCAGCTGGCGAATGTCTTCTTGGCCACGGTAAATTCTCTTAAGTCCTCTGGGAAGATAACGGCAGGATGAGAGGTTGAGGTAGCTAAGAGCTGTCATTTGGCCGATGACTGACCTGAAAAATAAAAAAAGATATATAAGAAAATCACAACGTTAAAGTTGCAGAACTCAGGATTTACAAATGTGAATGCTTGATTCATGCTCAGTTCTGTATATGTGCAGATTCTCTCTTAAAAGTGTTGGTTCATAGTTTATTAGACTGAAGTGGAGGGAAAATCATACACATGTACCTAAGGGCAGATGGTGTGATCCTTGTCCCACTAAGGTTGAGTGAACGCAGGGTATCTGCTTCTGTTGTCCCAGCAAGATAACTCATTGCTATCTCCAAGTCCTCCTCAGTGAAGAGCTGATTTGCAATGTCAAGCTGTTGCAAAGTCTGACTCCACTTTTGGGTCACCACGTGAAGTCCCTTCTTCAGTGATGACAACCCGACATGGCTGCTGAAGTACTGTCCCCAAAACAGACACTCAAGCTCTGCCAAATGACAGAGGAAAAAAAGAGGGAAGAAACTATTAATAATTGGGTTTTTCAAATATAAATATAGACTATTGATATTACAAACACAGCTGGGTATTTTATTTGTAAATCCCAAATAATTACTCTACATTTACATATTAAAAAATGTAGTCAAAGTAAGTATTTCTGTGCCACTAATAATTTTTCTAACTTTTCAAAACAACAAGCTTTTCATGGGATCCAATTACATCTCATTTTAAATCATATTTAAGTAACTTTATAACCCAAAATTGAACAAAGGGAAATCATAAACCTCAGTGTGTTAGGCCTACCAAGGCAGGGCAATGTCGCAAGACCAGATGGTGTTATTCGCGAACAGCCTCGCAAGTCCAGCACCCGCAGCTTCGTGGAGCCGAACAGGATGTCCCACAAATCTTTGTCGGTCATGTAGGAATAAGACGTGGTCGCGATACACAGCTCCTCCAGTAATGGGAAGCCTGGCGCTGAATTGGCTCCGCTACGCATCGTCTTGTGCAGAGGTCTGACGTTCAGCATTCGGAAGGTCTAATGGGAATTACAATAGATGTACAATAGAAGTACATCAATACATAAGGCCATGCACAAGGGTCATGGTGTGTGCAAGCCATTCACAGTAGACAAAATATTCATTATCAATTAATATGATGAGTAGAATCATTACTCAAATTCAAAACAAATAAAAAAATGGTAAAAGTGAAAATGTCCATGATATTTTGTCATAGCTCAAGGTAACATCTTCAGATGTCTTGTTTGACAAACAAAAAGAAAAAAAAACACAAAACATCAAGTTTTCTCATTTATTTATTTAAGCCTTGAAGATCATTGAGGTTTCCCTCATTTGTAATGATGTTGAGATACATAGAAATACACAGTTAATACACAGAGTTAAAAATTATTTTAAAAAAAATAGGGCTGCACAATTAATCGAAAAATAATTGAAATCTCAATATAGCTGAGTGCCAAATCCAAATCACAGGAGCTGCAATTTTTTTGATGAAGGTAAAATGTGTCACATTGTTGTGCATTGTTAGCACCATCAGCGTTGTGGTGCTACAGAGACACTCCAGCCAACAAATCATATTCTCCAGATGTAAAGGAACATGATTGTTTGGTACAAGTCCAACAAAAATCACATCATCATCATTTTTTTCTATTTTTTTTTTCAGCAAAAAAAAAAAAAACATGCAAAAACCACCACTCCACCTGAACTCGCAATATCTGCCAAAATAATCATAATGGGATTTTATTTTGCATATCGTGCAGCCTTAAAAAAAATCAACTTAAATTTATCATTGCCATTCAGATGTATATCAAATAGTCAATAGTTACATCAGCAAAGAGAACTGAAAATTTTGATTTTTTTTACCTTGAGTTTGGGGCATGCCATCTGTAGCGCCTGGATATAGACAGAAAGTTCACAGTCTTTACTGTCAAGCTTTGTGTTGATCTCTAGCAACTCCAGATCCGGACAGTATCCTCTCTGGAAAATAAAATACAGTGTGTTATTATGTGCACTCAGTTCATTTGTCCTGACTGGCTTTGACAGTGTGTAACGCTCTAGAAAGAGGGGCTTACAGTTATGGCAGTCAGAAGTCTGTCATTCTTCAGTCCATGAGTGAACCAGATTTGCTTGATCTGGCTCCCATGATGTTCTAGGTACTCCAGGAGTCCCTCAACCTGAAACTATAGCGAAAAAACAAAAAACAAAAAACAAGTTTTCAACAAATGTTAAACTCTATATTTAACCAAGTCTAGGCTGGAAATAAACACCTGCTGGGAAATATTGGCCTTGGATGACTAGCCATAATTTAGAGAACACATACTATACTAAACCTGAAGCTGTAAGGTGAAAAGTTGTCAGCAGCCAATGAATGTTCGAAAGCCACTATGGTAAGACCATGAAACTAACCTGTAGTCTGTGTTCTGCATTTTCTACAAGAAATGCTTACTTCACTTGTCTGTGACGTACCTCTGAATACTGGAAGTTTATGCTCTGCAGAGACCGACAGTGCAGACCAAGGCTTTGGAAGGCCCCCACTGTCAGGCCTGTGCAGTAAGAGAGTTTGAGGGAGCGCAGCTGAGGGCAGAACTGCGAAACAACCTAAAATTGATCACAACACAATAGGAAAGAAAATTTCGGTAAGTACAAAATGTTTACTCTGAAAAGTGGATTTAATTCTTAGTATATGGAAAAAGTGTAATTTTTTATTTATTGGGTAATATTTAAAAATATGTTAATATAAATGCTTGTATACAATTGCCTGTAATTTTTGGCTGTGAATCTCTTACTTTGAAACAAAACTCAACTCATGATTAGTTCCATTAGTGATTCATAGCTGATTGTTTTTTCAGTGATTTGTTTCATCTAAAAAATGTCATAAAAGAATGGAATAATCATTCTAATGTCAGTTTTATCCCAACATACCAACACAACAAAAAGATTCACTTTACTATCAAATGATGGAAACATTTCATAAATGATCAAAATAGTTTCCAGATTAATTTTCCATTGATTGATTAATCGACTATCTGTTTCCATTCTAAATCCCATTGAATAAAAATGTAGAAAAAGACAGGTGTCAGGTCTTGATGACTTACCTCTACTGCATGGTTAACGTTCTTTGTCCAGTGACAGAGAGAAAAGTCTCGCAGCTGAGAAAATCTAGAAAAAAAGTCAAACTCTTTATTCCTTCTTTTCCAAAATAATAGTAAAAATATAAGCACAAACTAACAATGTTTAGGTCAAACCTCTTCATATAACTAATAACCTGTTTTCTGCCAGCCAGTTAACAGTGTCCTTAATCTTCTTCTGAGTTTTAGGGAGCTGGTTTTTCCCTGGTGCGATCCAGCAGAAACCCACAGTCACATCACGCCACAGGACCGGACTGGAGGCAGCGGCGTTCCACAGTCGACAAACTCTCCCCACCCTGCACCAGAAACACACAGTAACCCAGCTGGATGATAAAGTTGAAATGAATATCATGATATTTTACATTATCATCATTATTTATAAAGAACAAAATTTATTTTTATGGTATCTCTATATCACAAAATTAGAGCTCAAACAATCAATAGATTAATTGATCAACAGAAAATTAATTGAAACCTCACTGGTTCCACCTTTTTCAAATGTGAATATTTGCCTATATCCTTTCTATGCTATAGTGGTAAATTGAATATGTTTGGGTTTTCAAATGTTCAGCAGACTAAACAAGAACATTAGCTTGAAGTCTGTAAAATGCAATACAGATTTTATTACATTGTTTTATATTTTATGTATTTTATTATATTATTGTCTGACACTTTAAATACCAAATGATCAATCAAGAAAATAATCAGCAGTTGCATTTGTAATCTTGAATCTACAAAATCAGAATATAAAATAACTGATGTTCAAGGAAACGAAATGTGTAAAACTGTAAAGCGCATGGCAAATCTATTTATACACCACATTCTCACACACAGAGGTCATTCACTGCTCAACAGAAATAAAATAAGCATAATAAAAGTAAAAAACATGATAAGAAAACGGTATAAAACAGTATAAAAACACATTATAGAATAGATAATATCTCATTAAAGTGCAAGATTAAAAGATTAAATGAATGCAGAGGAGAACAGAGCAGTTTTTAGCTTCTTTTTTAAGCCAGTTACGATTTGGGCAGATTTGATTTGATCCATTGGGAGCTTGTTCCAGCTGGTGACAGCAGGGAGCAGCACAGTGACTGAATGCCATTTCACCCTGGGCTCCACTAACTGACCAGCTCCTGCTGATCTAAGAGACCTGTTGGGCTCATATACATGGAATTACATTTCTGGGCCTTAGTGACAATAAGTAAACCTTTAAAGTCAAATCTGTATCTGACTGGAAGTCAGTGTAAAGAACTGAGAAGCCCGCCTTATGTGCTGCATATCAGTCACAGTGTCATCATAGTAGTTTATAAAATTCATTTGTAAGTTGAACTACATCAAATCAAACATCTGTTTCTTACCTGCATAAAAATGGTACAGCACCATCTTGGACGACCACCATCTGAAAAATATTAATTAGCACCTCCTCAGGAAGACTTTGACCCCATCTGTGGTCCATTGCTTTCTGTGGCACAAACAGAGCAACGTCCTCCTCCGTCTTTGTAACTGGATCAATTGCAGGTTTAGGTTTGGCACAGATCTTCTTTTTTTTCTTTACCTGGTTGCCTTTTAACTTTCTTTTAGTAGGCTTTTTCTTTTTGCTTCCCTTCTTCTGGGGCGTCCAGGCTGAACCATCATACTGAGAGGTGGTGCTTGATATGACGAGAAGCATATCTTCCCCTTGATGGACAGTGTAGCCGAGCTGGGCAGGCCTGGAGACTCTTGCCTTTTTTTGCTTCTTTGATTTCGCATTTGTTGGCTCACGAGACTTCCTCTTCAAAGATGCCTTCTCTGACTTTGGTCCCTCTTCTCCTTGACCTGATAAATTTGAAGTACTGGGAACAGTGTCTTCTTTTCTTTCACTGTGGGTTGAAGCTTCTGCTTCAGAGGAATCCATCGTGTGCTGCTATGTGGTCTTTACAATGAGCGTCATTCCAAGAAAATGAGTCATCGGAAGAGTAGTGACATATCAGCATCTGAAAATAGAATCAGAGTAAAATCAGTTAGTATCTGTGTGGGTAATCTCATCTCTCCAGTGTAAATAAAATGTCATATTAGTACATAATGAATGAGGAGGAATGCAACAGAGTGGATGGGGAGAAAATATATACAGTGGAGTAAAACATGACATTACAATCATATATATATATATATATTGTAAATTGTAAATTGTACATAAAGGCACATATTCCTCTGCAAAGTTGGGGCTACAGGGGTTAAGCACAATGTCATGCACAGCTGTACGATCTAGTGCAATACAGCTGCACTAGGTCAGGTACCTGCAGGTAGAATATGTGATGAGGAGTTGTCGTGTAGTTATTGCACGAGACAAAACTGATAAAAAAAAATATAAAATCCAAACACAGAGAATTTTAATTAACTTTTCGAGAGAATTTGATTTAAATAACATAGTAGATGGTTTTGAGAGAGAATATTTGATTCAAGGTGCAGTTCATATGTAATTTTAGGAACAGCACATAACTCAGGCTCTATGGTCAGCAGGTTTGTTGATTAATTTACATATTTGTACGCTCACTTACAGCTTTAGTGTGTGCGTGACAACTACTGGTTCAGGCATGATGCAGGTGGCAGACAAATGGTTTGGTTGGAAAATGCATGGTTTTGATTAAAAAAGTAAGGCATGGCAACTTTATTTGTATAGCACAATATCATACCGAAACAAAAAAAAAAAAAAAAAAAGTATAATGACAAATCAGTATAAAATCACAGATTACATAGATAATATCTCATTAAAGTGCAAGATTAAAAAAATAAATGAAGGCAGAGGAGAACAGAGCAGTTTTAGGATTCTAGCAGTAGTCTATGATTCACGTGTCTCTTTTTATTTTTCCTTGCAGGTAATCAATCCTGTTATGAAACATTTCTGTATAAATGAGGCTATATCTATGGTACACACAGATATATAGTTCACTTGTTGTATTCTGTGTAATGCTACTATATGGTTGTACACCCGCTGTATTATTTTACATTATATATAATACAATATAATATATTATAATATTATATTATATATAATATAACATAATACGTGCACACTGAAATAGTGCTTATAAAATGACGAAAACTATTATTTAATTCCAAAATTAGTTTCCGATTACTTTTCTGTCAATAGCCAAACTGATAAATCAACTGATGATCGCTGCCGCTCTAAAGAGTACTTTCACTTGAAGAAGATCTGAGTGCTTCTCCCATCATCAGGAATTTAGACCAGGAAACTGCGGGAGTTCGTATTTCGTGTTAGCTAGAAATAGCTGTTTGTTGTCAGTGAACGTGCATGTTGTTGAAAATGTGTCTTATACCAATTTACCCTTAACAAAAACTCTAATCTTATCGTTTTCCAGATGATGATTTGCCTGCACTCTTGTTTTGTTTATAAACGGAAAACCAGACACATCAACCCTCGTCGATTTTGAAGACTATCAAATAATATACAACATAATACCCTTTCAAAAACCAAAAACCCGTTCAGTGGTGTTAAATGTTAGTTAATTTAATCATTACTCTATCGACGGCAACGTTAATTTGTTAAATAAATGAAATTAGCTGATCGGGAAACGTTAACCATGCTAACCTGTGTTACAACTAGTTACTTTCCGAGTCACAATACAAAACGTAGCAGACAAACGGCACAGCAGCTATCGTTACGTTGACAAGTACTGATAAACCAATTAATAATTATTTTCTGGAATAAAGACGAGCAGCTGTTTTTCCTGTTTTTTACGTTACCTGGTGCTAGTTCACGTTAACGGCTGACTTCCTCCAGCCTCAGTAGCACACACACAATGCTTTCCACATCCTCGCTGTGATTGGAGGAGACTTCTACAAAAGCCCACCTTCTGTTAAACTGTCCAATCACTTAGCAGCTTACTGTTCCGACCCCTCCACCGTGTGTTGTTGTGGTGAGGAGCAATGATGGAGTAGTAGTCAGAGAATGGGAGGTAGGAACTTGTGTTTTTTTAAATTCTACTTTTACTGCTTGTTAACTTGAAATCATTTGGAAGTGCTACAAAAGGCAGAATAGCTCTTCTGCTCCGGTATTACTCGCGGATGATTGTAGTGCATCGTGCTGAATTTCCTGTAGGTAAAGTTGGCGCTAACATTAGCATTTTGCTCACAAGGCTAACATTAGCATGCAGAGGTAGTGCAGCATGGCGTTAAAGGTTTTATTATGTAAAGTTCTGATTATAGTCTGAGCCAATAAACCACAAAGACTAACTCTGGTTGTTTTGTTTATTTGAATTTAATGCTAAAGAAAGTTCATGTGTGCAGCTGTTAAAGCATATCCAGAGGTGGTGGGTGGGGGAAGGGATTCCCTGCATAGCTTGGACAACTAAGTCCCACAAGGTGGCACAAATTTATACTAATTTTCCTGCATATTATAGGTTATAATTTTCAGGTTTTGTTGAAACTGTTTTAAAGACATGTTTATTCAACTATATATTCATTCACTGCTTCACTGTCTTGTGTTATGATGAGAGATGTTATTATTTTGTCAACCCCATTTATATCAACCGGGGGTAGTATAAAATAAAAAAGCTTTTATAAAAATAAAAAAAAAATGATGTGTATAAATATCCACATATTTGTGTTGAACACTAAAAACCACAAATGAGATTATAAATTGGTGTGAGTCTGATCTTGAGTATAGTATATCTTTAGCATTTGATGTATGACGACATCCTTCAGCTGCAACACCTTAATTAACACCAGGCATCTAGAAGAGTGCATGAAAACCTGCTAACACTCAAGTAAAGAAGTTGAAATAGAAGCTGAAGTAATGGAAATATGGTTGAAACCTTCACTTTGTACAACTCCACCGTTAAACATAGAGAGTTACAAGATCACTATGTCTTACTTGAAAAATACTGTGACCACATCCACTTTTATATAATTGATAGTGATAAACATGGAGTTTAAAATGAATTTAAATGGACACATTTGTTGGAACATTTCACCTCTAACTGTTATTTTCATTTTTGTACAGGGGTGCATTCTCCAGGACAACACTGAGAGTACGATACTTGTTCCAGTTCTGCTTCACCTCCTTGTCCACTCAGGAGCAAACACTACATGGAGCATTGACTGAAAATTATAAGTAAATGTAAATGTTTTTTACTTGTTGTTAGTGCTTTTTTTCTTAAGTTTAATGCATAGAAAATATTCACAGTTAATATAAAAATGATGGTGGGCATTTAAAAAAAAAAATATCACAATTGAACTCTTTAGTTTCATAAATTCAGTTTCAACCAGACTTTAGGTATGATTACACATGAATGTTAATTGTCAATAGCAAGCATTTTGTCATGATGTAAACATCCCCTTCTTCTTTAAGTTGTGAGTTTAAAGATACTGAGGATTAAAGGTTTTCTAATGTGTCTTTTCTTTTAAACCAGCACACAATGGAGGAGGGTGAAGATTTCTCTCTGTGTGGAAAAGCAGCTGTAACTGAAGCTAATCTGAGTAAGTAAAATGGCCATGGTGCTAAAATGACTATATGAGCTAATTCTCTCTATTTAAAGTATATATAGATGATAAATATATTACTGAACATTAATTAATTAATCTATTTATTGTATTTTAATACCTCCAGAAGACTTTGCATGTGTAGTGGTTGCCTTTTCATTATCAGAAAGTATAAATAAACAAATTTAATCCAGTACAATTACAGAATTTTTAACAACCCTGCCTCCACTTCATTCAAAATTTGTGACCTCACCTCTCAGTCAAGTATTTCTATCTAATCACTTGCTATCTTTCCTGTTTTTCAGGGGATGAGTACTATTGGAGGCTTGTTGCAGATTTCATTGGTCCTCAGTCGGGGGAAGGATTAGAGCTTGAAGAAGCACCATGCAAGAACAGACTTTTGATTCAAGTAGGACTTCTGAGAGAAGATAATAACTTCCCGTGGATTGCCATCATAGATTGGCTCAAGAAAATTTTCCCCAAATATCAGTCGGCTGATTTTCGTCGTTTGATTGAAAGAGGCATCGCGACAACACTAAGTCTGGGGAGTGAAGCGAGGTTTACTTTTCTGGAATCAGTTGTCAACTTTAACTTTGTCGGCCCAATATGTGATAGCATCGGGGTTGAACGACAACATCTTTTGGAAATGAGGGATTTTTCAGAGCGAGCACAATCAATCGAAGTCACAAATGGATTGATTCTCGAGTTGAGCAATTTTGTCACTAGGGAGAAAATTGCCCCAGTCGTTATAGTTAGTTGGCTTAGGAACTTCAACCCTGAGTTTTGTAAGAGAGGGGATATTCAAAGGGCATATAAAGTCCTCAGGGCCAAGATAAAGAAGTTAAAACTGTACTGCCGCAATTCAGAAACAAGACGTCACAGGAGGAATGCAGCGTTGGAAAATATGCTTCAAACTCCATTTGAACTGGTGCGGAAAAAAACACCTAAGTTTGTTGTGAAGAAACGCATGAGGAGAGATGACAGCATCAGTTATGAAAAAGTTACAATCAAGGAAGAATATGAGAGCTATGAAATCATGCAAGGTGACGGCCCTGAGATGAACAGAGGAGTCATAAAGAAAATAATACTGAAAGAACATGTCTCTCTACGTGATGAAAGTGATGAGGATTCGGATGCATCCAGCAGTGAAGAGGAAACCTCAGATATCAAAGCAGAGGCCCTGACGCTGCTTGACATTGCAATGCTGTCAGTCCACAAGCTGTCAGGTGTTTATGGTGGTAAAACCGCAACCTGCAAGCAAGTTTCCTTGGATCTCCTCAAAAATCACTACACTCTAACCTGCAAGGAGCATCCAGCCATGGCAGAGTTTGAGAAAAAACTGGACACGCTCATTGAAGACATTTCTCTAGCCTCTCCTGTGGTGTTTCTAAACTACAACGCCAATTTCCTTGTCGACATGCATGACGCAGTTGAGCAGCACATTATGAGCTTTGAAAAAGAGATTGTTCTATCAACTGGAGAGAAACTTGGCCGTGACAAGCTTCCAAAATTCAAGAACTTTGTGAATCTGTCAGAAAGTGCCACTTCACGCTACATTCACATGGCTTGCGATATTTTAAGTCCTCACACCCCTGATATGCAAAATTACAGAAAGCACTGGTTAGCCTTCTGTGAGGAAAAGAAAAACCCCTCCAGACTCACAGTGAATCAGTCAAACCGATTCAACAACTACTTCGGAGCTGCAGCGGGTCTGATTCATCATCACAAAGAGATCGCTCTCTTCTTCTCTGATTTGCTGTCACTGAACAACGACGAATGCCCAAATGTCATTCTTGAGAGTGTTGCCGCTGATGCTAACGATTCTGTGATTCAGAGCCTGGTGTGTGTTCTGGCCATTGTTCACTGCAAAATCCTCGGCCCTTTCTGGCAGCTCCTGAAAAGTGGAGGAGAGTACTCACAGTTCAGCCGGTACATGCTCTGTCTCTACCAAAAGTACCTTGATTGGTCCAAAGATCCTTCAACTCTACTGGAACCTGAAGGGGCCACAAATGTTTTCCTGCAGTTCCCATTGCAGGAGAAAACATTTGATGGAGTATTTCATTACTGTGGTCAGTGGCACACAAATAGGGACCTAATCAGAGCTTGCTTGAAGAGAACCATAAAGGTAATTGCAACCGTAACTGAGGAACATCTGAAGGACTTCCTGCCAGGAGGAACATTTTCTGAAGTCCCATCACCAGATTTGAGCTTGCAACTCGTAAGTTGCACCTTCTCTGTCCTGATGGCGGAGTATCCCTTTGGCCATGAATACCCTTACAAGAACAAGAGACCTGACAAGTCCTCTAAACAGTCCTCGCAGAAAAACTTGTCATCAGATAGCTCTCAGGAAGATGATGACCGGTCTGGTTCATTTGACGGCAGCTCTGATGAGTCCTCCGGTTGGCATCCTAAAAAGAATATACGCCTCGGCCAAAAAGATGACTGCAGCCCGCAGCTGAAAAAAGCTTACAGCGGCAAAAGAGAAAGGGCTGTAAGAGTAGAGCAAGAAGAGGTTGAGGAGAACATGGACAGGAAGTACATAATATCTACAGTGAACAGAAATGGAGGACCATGCAAGTCACAGCAGGACGTTGACAAAATGCTGCTGCGTTTTGATGGAAAACCCCGAGTGGAGAAACGAGAAGCCATCCGCTGCGAGATACTGTATCAGAAAATGATTCTCAACAACACAGACCCTCACTTGGATTGCATTTTCCGCAACAGCACGCAAATGGTGCTGAAGCTAAAGCTTGCGCTCCCGCGTGTTAAACCTGGGTACTCTCTTGTTTTGGCACCAAAAAAGACCAAAACAAAGCCTGTGCTGCAAGAACCAGATGCAACAGGGAAGAGTGAAAGCAGCAGCACGTGAGAGATTTAATTTCATCGAGAAAAAATGGTGATGAATTACATGGAAGACCATTTGAAGGAACTTGTGCTTGTGAATCATGTGACTTCCTCACATGATTCTATGTTTACAGACTAAACAGAAATACACACAATGGCCTCAATCTTTCAATACAAATACACTATAATGTATGATTTTCTATAGGCCAGATGAACTCATCATGTATGTTGTACAAACAATATTTTGATGCCATTAGTCGGGACGGTTGTTAGATTTTGTAACAGATATTTTTGATATGATAGAACTCCATAATTTGCATGGCACTGTATTTGAACTATGTCTAGAAAAGAAAACGGTACTCTTCTTTTATATAAAAGATTGTACCTATTGTAATTATGCACAGGTCAACACTAACTACTGCTGATATAAAAATCTAAATAAACATCTTTGTTCATAGTTTGTTTTATTAACTTTGTCAACCTTTATGATGAAGTAGAAAACTAATGTCTATTCATTAAGACCAGAGTTCAGTTACAAAATCTACCCAGTTTCAGTTCAAGTTCATGACTATTGGACAGACCTAGTGTTTTGCTTTTGTCAGTCACATAATAACCTTGTGTTTTTCCCAGATTTAAAGGGCATTTGTGGTTGCATCACAGGCATCAGCCATGTCAGTGAGTTCATGCTTATAAAAGCGTTGGCTGGGAGGGGCTCAAGAAAAGTGAGGCAGTAACTGCAGTAGGGCTTATTGGGGTCACTGTGCCAAAAAGCATTATGATGTTTTTTTGAACTACAGTTGCTAAGAAGGGTCTTAGATCCACCGATGGACTTGGAGGAAATGAGGGAGGCTGCAAGCTTTCTTATGAACGCCCTCTATTGTATTAGATTTGATTTTGAGGGAGATTAAATAACTTTGATAAACTTTGTGTCACCACAAACTGGTGCTCGGTGCTTCAGAGTCCAGCAATTAAAAAATAAAATAAAATAAAGGCCCGAAATCTAAGCATATTTTTAAAAATCCAATGTTATTGCATGAATTTATAATACATCCATGTGTGATCTGCTTCACTGAGATGCTACCCACATCGGTTGTAGGCAGGGTAAAAAGCGTACCTATTGGTGGAGGATTGTGACGATTGTGTATTCATGAGTCTCGGGAAACTGATTGTTGGACTAAACCAAGCACAAAAACCCTGACAGCTGATGGAGCTACTGTCGCACACTGAACTGTGTGGTTTCAAGTAAGAAGTGTTATGTTTTAAACCATATTTTAGATGCAGATCAGATATGTTTTGTATGAAAATGATTTTACTGCAAAATGTCCGGTAACTGCAATGCTAAATAAGAGTAATGAAGTACAAAGTACTTTGAAATGTAGTGAAGTAGAAGGATAAAGTAACATGAAATAGAAATACTCAAAGTACAAATGGGCTACATGCAGGCAGGAAAACAACACAGTTGTCGAGGATTTCTGTGACGATGGTGCATTCAGGAGTCTCCGAAAACTGAAACATCTACCGAGCACAAAAACAGTGACAGCGGATGGAGCCACTGTAGCAAACTGAACTGGGTAGTTTTAGGTAAGAAGTATTTCTATTTCATTTGTATTGTGCAACCATTGCGAGAATAGCTGTGGAAAAGCGGCAATCGCCCTGTTGTAATTGATCGAATCCCATTTGTAAATGTAATTAACGAGGAGTAAGCGAAGGCAACAGAAGGGGCGTGAACTTTGCGTAAGTGTCCACCATTCTCCAGGTTAACACACTGCAGCTTGTGGAAGAACACACTGTCGGCGTCTACCCCAAACAAAGTCAAAAGGGTTACCCGCATTTTCTTTGTTTTCTTGGCCGGAATAAGCGCTACCATGTCCGGCGGCAGCTGGTGGAGCAGTGCCGCGGTGACCCACGGGCTGATGGCTCTTTTTGCCATGGGTTCCTGGGTTTCCGTCAACAGCCTGTGGGTCGAGCTCCCGGTGGTTGTCAATGTGCTGCCCGAAGGTCAGTGGTATAACTTTCAGAGATATATACCGATGTCCAGTTACATCCGGGCCTTTATTTGAATGTCGTTGTTTTTATTATTCAGACTTCGTCGACCACAGTTGGACTCGACTGTGACGATGTTAGTTTCATCCCAGCTAGCTAAACATTTAACTGAAGACTAAAGGTCTAGTGTGGTTTATCTCCATTGAGAATAATTAAATGTCTAGAATACATTGTAATTACGTTCATGAGAAGGTCAGTGATTAAAATGAATAATAATCATAAAAGTGAGTGGTGGAAGAAATACTCGGGTACTTAAAGTAAAAGTAGCAATACCACACTGTGAAAAAAATACTCCATTACCAGTAAAGGTTCTGCAGTCAAAAGTAAAAGTGCTTATTATGCAGACAAATACCTAACTTAATGATGTGTTATACATTAATAAATAATACTTATGTTTAATGAATATACTCAGTTGGCAGTTTATTAGGAACAGTCCTGCAATAGAGAGGTAAGAGAGGTCCATACAGAAAATTCACAAAAATAATAAAGGAAATCTAACAAAACAGCAATATACAGAATATACGATCTTCATCAGTAATGCCTTTTTGTTTTACAGATTCAGGGTAAAAGGAGTTTTCTTTCTCAGCATGTTTTTGTTTTTAAATATTTCGAAGCAAATGTTGTCAAATGCACATATGACACATATATGGTACATGGACTGGTGCATAATAGAATAAAGTGAGAAAAAACGATAAATAATTGATTAAAATACATGCATTTGATTAGAAAAGCATTTGAAGATCAACAGAACACACAAGAGAATACTTGATGGGTAATTTAAAGTGAGCAAACGTAAATCTCAAACATTGTCCCATTTTTTTTCAAAATAAGATGTAAAATTATTGTGTATTATTGTGGGTTTTTTTAAATTTCTTATTACCCTTACAGATATTTCCCTTTTCTTGTTTCAGGGTGGAACCTGCCTGCCTACCTCTCAGTGCTGATAGCATTTGGGAACCTGGGTCCGATAGCAGTGACCATCACACACCACTGTGCTCCGGGACGTTTAAACGAACGCCTGGTGATCCACTGTATCCAGGTGCTGGCAGTGGTGGCGTCGGCTTTTCTGGCCGTCTTCTGGTCACACACTGTCACAATAGCAGGAGAGGAAAGGTCGCTGCCCTTCCTGCTCTTCACCTTTGTGTTGTCTTTGGTTTGCTGCACGTCCAACGTCACCTTCCTGCCTTTCATGTTTCGTTACCCGCCTCAGTATATCCGTACTTTCTTCATTGGTCAGGGGTTCAGTGCCTTGTTCCCTTGCATCGTGGCCTTAGGGCAAGGTGTTGGGAAGCTGGAGTGTAAAACAGTGAATGGCACAGTGCAGCCACAGTATTTAAAAGAGAGCTTTCCTGCCCAGAACTTCTTCTGGTTCTTGTGTGTCATGCTGTCAGTCTCAGCTTTAAGCTTCCTGGCTTTGACACGAAGACATACAGAGTCACAGCAAGATACACCGCCGCAGGAGTCTGATAAAGCAGAGGCAGCAAAGAACGGAGAGGAGACTCACCCGCTGCACAACGGAGGGACGCCGGTGTCTGAGGAGCAGGTGCAGGTGGAGGAACAGCCATCCGCTCAGACGTTCTGGACTCCACGCAATATCTACATGCTGATGCTGCTCGCTGTTTCCAATGCCCTCACCAACGGGGTCCTCCCATCTGTGCAGAGCTTCTCCTGTCTGCCCTATGGCACCATGACCTTTCACCTCTCTGTGGTCCTGGGCAACATCGCAAACCCCCTGGCCTGCTTTCTGGCCATGTTTGTTGTCCTCAGGTGAGAGAATTTTTGTCTTTGTGCTGATGAACAGTTAAACTATTTGTAAGAGCACACCTGTTTTTACCTTTGATGGTTGTGACCATTTGTTCTTTGTCTTCCAGGTCCTCCACAGGTCTGGGTTTCTTGTCTGTAGCAGGGGGAGTATTTGCTGCATATCTCATGGGATTAGCAGCACTCAGCCCCTGTCCACCGCTCCTGGGAAACGCCGCTGGTGTGGCTTTAGTGGTGAGAGCTAATACTCATCTCTAGGCTTATGTGTTTTTTTAATTATTTGATTCTAGTACAGATTTTTCCACATGACTTTTACCAAAAACCACAATTCCTTGAGAATTGAGAATTTTGTTCTACAAGGACTTATTTTATTCAACAAAAGAGCTAATTATTACCAAATGTTAAATATTGTCTAAAAAAAGAGTATAAAATTCGGTATTTTTTTAAATAAAATCTAAGGAATATCTGCTCAAAGACTAAGTTGACAAGATTACAAGTCTGACTGACAATTAGTTGCAGCTTTTGGTATATGACACTTTTGTTTATCGGGCTGTGTCCACACTACTAGTAGTTTTGCTAGGTTTTCATCTCCCGTCCACACAACTCCAGAGTTTTCGAGCACTGATAACAGAGACATTTGTAAATGCTGCTGGCCCCATTTTATTTTGAAAAGTCTGGGGTTGTGTTGTATCTGGACGGACAGTAACTGAGACCTTTGGAAACGATGACGTAGACACCCACGGTCTCTCCTGATTGGCTTTCATCAGCCTCAACTAGCAGTGGTGAATACAACATGATAATGAATCACAGTGTTACTGACCTTGTTGTCTTTGCTAGCAGCTGCTGTTCAGTTCAATTCTGCATTTTAATGCTACAACTGTCTTTGTTGTTCTCGTTCAGTCTATTTTTTGCAACTACCGGTAATCAACTGCAGAGTAGACAATCCGCTTCCTGTTTACACCGGCTTGCGCATGCTCAGTGTAGGTGATTGCTCATGTATGAGTGTGCTTTCAGGTGTGAAAAAAAATGTAAATGTAGTAGTATAGAGGTAATATTCAGCATTTTCCAGTTATCAGTATCGTTATGTTTTTTTAACCGATAACTGAGTAAACGTGTTACTGCATTAGATTTTAAAAGGGGAGGGGTAAAACATCTTATTTGGTGATGATGATAATATTAGATAAAACGATTAAATTAAAGAGCATCTTTAGGCTGCCAGGTGAATCAGTTCACAGGTGAGAACAGCACCGTACCGACCAAATAATTCCATTCAGGCTCTTTGCAGCCTGTGCATGCACCTGATAATTACTAATATACACTTCCATATGTATACACTTATATACACTGTATGCGCTGTCAGTTTATTAGGAACATCTAGCTAAAACTAATGTAATCTAATACAACAGTCCTGCACTAAATCCTCCTGCATGGAGGTTATAATGTTCAGTTTTAATTAAAATTGTATTAGACAATTGTTGATTATCATTGTGGACGATTTAGTTTGTGGAGCTGTGTTACATTATACAGAGGTGTTTCTGTTAGCTACTTTCACTGATATAAGTGGAGTGAACAACATAATAGAAACACTTGGACGCCACGGTGAGTGTCCTTATACAGCAGTAGTTTTGTGTTGGCATATCAGTTCTAAATATCAGTTATCTGTTTCCTTAATTACCAATAATCAGTATCGGTATCGGCCCTGAAAAAAACATATTAGTGGATCCCTAGTGTAGACAGTCTTGGTGCTATGGCTACTGCAGTTTGACACCCAGTCCTACACATTTCTCACTTCAGAGGAACAAATGTGTGAACAAAGCAAAAAAAAAACATAACTGGTATTTATAAATGCAGAATGAGCAGTGAAAACGTGAATATTTCAGACCATGTCAACGATACGGTTGTTTGCTTAAATGTTTTGAAACAATTACCTGTCAATCAAATCACATTTACAAACTTGATTTTGATTGATTACTTTTGTGCGATCTGTTCCTGTTATGTGCATTGTATTGGTATTTGTCTTTGCGGGGTTTAATACATCTGGCGCCAGATGTTAAACATACTGAAGCTTCAGTTTCATCTCTTCTTTTTCTCCATGACCAACACTGACTGACTTCAGCTGCTTGTTTGCGCCCCCTGCAGGTCGTCTCCTGGATTATTTTCACTGGCCTCTTCTCATATCTGAAGGTGGTGATTGGGACTTTGCTTCATGAGGCGGGTCACGCTGCCCTGCTTTGGTGCGGCATCTCCATCCAGGCCGGCTCCCTGATCGGAGCCCTCACCATGTTCCCCCTCATCAACATCTATCATGTATTTGCCAGAGCTCAGGAGTGTGTGGATAACTGCAGTTAGCAGGAGTGAGAAATGTAATGTTTTATTTTTAATACACACACACAGCTCCCAATCATTCCTCCTGGGAACTGACTGTTTCAACCATGTTTTTAGGGAAACACCAGATCTGTTTTGGCCTCATTTTTCTTGAGGAACTCGCCACCGATGAGGCGTCCTCACCTCACCCAGAAGCCTCTGAGCCTGTGAAAGAAAAAACATTCACTCATAATGGGAGCATTGTGTTTCTGCACATTGACCAAGGGGCTGCAAAATACATATGATGCAGTAATACCACAAGTGCTTTGTGCTCGATTTTTGTAATTGAGGTTGTTTACAGTAGCAAAAACAGCTGATGGATTTTTCCCGGTACAACAGGTCATGTGAGGTTATTTACTCAGGAACTTATCATTAATTCAAAATCATTAATTTATTCATCCACATTTGTTGCTAATTAATGTGACATATTTCACAGTTAGTTGCAAACTACTGTCTCATCCCTGTTGAAAGGCAAACAGCGCTTTTGTTTTTAATTTCAGCGACTGTTTTTAAACGTCTGGCTACCTCTTGCCTTTGATTCCATATGAGCATGAAATACAATTATATAATTTCATCAAAGTCTAATACACAGTTCGGTTATGCAGAAGTCAGTATGATGAAAATTGTATTGTAACGATAAACATTCTTGATTTCGTGTCAAAGTGAAGTGTGCCTGAGAAATGTTGAATTTAACGAAACAGAGCTTTCATGAATGTCACTTTCCTTTTGTTTCTCATAATGTTTCATACAGACATTTGATGTAATTTACTGACAGTTATGTTATGCTACCTTAAGGGAACAATATCCTTGATGAATAGTGAAGTAATGCGTTTTGGTAAACAAGGGATTCTGTCATGTCAACCTTTGAGGTAATGATTATGTATATCTTTGATATGCTCTAATACCTTGTAAGCTAATTTCTTTACAGAGGAAGAATATCTGTTCAGTGTGCCTCAACTTTATGGTGGCAATCCTAACATTTTTCATTTATCAGTAATTTGTCAAGTTTTGTGCTGATTTTAATGTTTAATGTTTTAATAGTTACATGATTGAAAAGGTGCTCTTTCTTTTTTTTGTTGATTTTATGATTTTTTTTTTTTTTTTTAAGATTTGTTGAAAATGTCCTGAAGCTTTTATTTTCTTAAAACATTAGTGTTGAGGAAAGCCTTTCATTTTTTGTTTCTATGACATTTTAATGACTTACTGTACTACGAGTGTTTTATGTCTCATGAGGAAAAATATACACAATCTTCAGTGTATTCAATGTAGACTTGCTGACACCTACGAACAACTCTATAACCCCACTGAGTTGGCCCCTTGATCCTTTCATCAAGGAGAACACCCCTTCTTCCCTCTTACATCACCAACGCTTTATCGTCTTAACAACAACTTACCTGTAGATATGTTGTTACAACCCGGCTCACAGGGGAAAGGGAAGCAACACAAAACCCAGTTGGTATTAGGTATAAGGTTGTTTATTGTAACGTAAATTGTAAAAATAATGGTTTATATGTACAAAAAACACAAACCAAGGAATGGGGCCGGTGGGTGCTGTCCAAACCAAAAACAGAATATAACAAAAGGAGGACTCTATGAGCTAATCAGTAAAACTATTTACCCAATTGAAAGTAAAAGGAAAAACAAAACTGGCTACCAAGGCCAACTAAAGAACCAAAACACACCAGGAACAGCACCCCTGCACCTAGTGTATGTAACAATACAAATGGCTACAAGTGGAGGAACCAGCCAAATCAGTTTAAGTATAAAATCTAAACCTGACCCCACTTCCAGGCTTCCAAAGTTACGATCAGTAAAATACAACAAACAAACTGTCTAGCGCCCACTTAAGGTTCACACAGTACAAATGTCCTTCCAACAACGAGGCGAGCTGCCACTAACAGTCAGCTGCCTGGACTGACAGGCGGGCCGGAGCTTTATAGCTGGTGGTTCCTGATTGGGCGGCAGGGATTGGCCAGCTGCAAACAAACCGTACCAATCAGGCCAGAGAGGGTGGAGCATCCGGGTGGACGGAGCAGGCCGCTCGGCAGGCAGCCTGGCAAACAGGAAAATTAAACACAACAAAAATGGCCAGAGTGGCGGCCGTAACATATGTTGATTCAGTCTAAGGGCTCTTCCTGCTCTACCTGTGGATATGCCCATCCAGCCTAAGAGCCCCTCCTACCCCCTTGATAACTAGAACCTAGGTGTTACACTGCTAGACCTCTAGAGTACGTTACCTTTTGTTTCTAATTTCCTTTCCTGTCTGACCAAATGTCTGTAACCCCAGGTATATGCAAATACAGTTGTCCATCCCATTGTCTTGAACTGTATAACTGTCCCCCTGCCCTACACTCTGGGTCAGTCTACTGCCTCAGACCCGCTCTGTTGCATCACTACAGTAAACTTGAAACTAAGGACTTGAGTGAATTTTCTTCAACACTTACTATAATATGACTATTGTATGACTTACTATACTTAGCATAGTCTATATCACATTAGCTCTAATTTATTAAGGTACAATACAGTATGAATCACACATTAATTTGTTAAATAAAAATGTATATTAATCATAGGGTGCTATTCTTTGATGACTGATGACTATATTTCTGACCTCTTGATGCTTTAGTTTGGATCTGTGCTTTGTTTTGAGGCCTTATGTGAGCATATGATTTAGGATTTATCACATATTGGCTTTTGGTAATCAACACATAATTTTAATGTTATCAGTCTTTTCTCTAAAAATTCAATTGGGGATTTCTAGTATCTTTCCCATTGTAAATCAACAGATGAAATGTGCAGTAATGCAACTGAACATCTTAAACACTTCATCCATGTTCACCTCTTCTCCCATGATCCCCTTAAGCAGAATTAATGAATTCTGCAGATTCTTGAATGTGTCTCACTCATTCAGAAAACTGCCTCAGGGAAAAGATATCGGGGAAATGAGGCTGAAAATCACAGCATGTGATGTTCATTGATCTTTAAAGTCCTGACAGTGAAAGTACTGGAGGTTATGACAATGATCAGTTAAACCAAACATGTGTCATGGTTGGCTACATGATCTCACACCCACTCGCCCCAAGGAGGGTTTAATCCCTTGGCGCACACACAGTTTACTGCACAGGACTTTGGCTTCTCTCTCTCTCTCTCTCTCTCTGCAGAAAACACCAAACTCTCCACCAAACAGCATGTGAGTATCTGCAGGGTTGCATACTATCATACTTTTAATTTTAGTAATAATATGAATAATTTAATGGATTGAAATTTGTGAACAAAAAGGGAAAAAGTTGTACTTTACTCATGTGCAGTGATGTTTTTCTGAATATGTTGATGTTTTAAACAGTATGTTGATGATGCTTTAATGTTTTAATGTTTATAATCCCAATATCCACAATCAGTTAACAACCTGTCAATGAGAAGCATTAAAATTATGGTTGTGCTTCCAGATCTAACAGATAATTATTCACTTATAGTGAACATTTTGCTTCTTTTTTTGAACACGCTGCATGAATTGGAGAATCATTTTCCTCATTCAGTCACTGATCTAAGTCTCCTCTGCAAGCTGTTTCCTTTTGAGTAAACAATGTACTGGTCAGCTGTTTTCTTAGGTTATGTAATAGCTACCAGCACATCAGGTGGTCATGCTTTCTTTGCTGTATGTCTGATGTTTAGGGTTTGACCCATGAGCCGCCTGAGATAAAAGGGAACAACTTCTAATTTGACATGCTTGCATGTAAAGTTTTCAGTATTTAATGTTGTAACTCATATGACTGAGAATAAGCAAAAATGAAACACTGTTGATTGTATAGCCAACAAACAAAGAGAAGACAATGTCCTGAGAAGACAATAAACATTAACTAAATAGAGGACGAAGTCACGTGGCGTACCTTTAGGAAGCGTTGACAGAGGATGCTTCGTCATGATGACACATTAATCTAGTGAAGTTACCATTAACATGTTAAAACCTTTTTTACTCACTGCAAATATGTCTCATTCTTTGTTACTGCACTGAAGCCAAACCAACACTCACATTTGCTATTGTCACTTATAGGGACATTGCATTACTTTAACTATAACCATGACACCTAAACTATCTCTTAGCTAAACTATAACGCAATCTTAACCCTAAACCTCATGATAAAACCAAATCTTAACTCTTAAACTTCCTGGCTAACCTTGTGTGGACCAGATTAATACAAATTACTATTATCAGGAATTCTGTTTTTCCTTCTGATTAATTTGATTTAATTTACAAAGGTTCAAGGTTTATTATTCATATTTTTATACGTACACTTGTTTTATACTTATGTTATTTATGTGGTGACTAACGCATCATATGTGTGGTTGTTTTTATTCTTTAATATTCAAATTGTCATACCGCTGAGGAGAGGCACTACAGCTGTGAGATGTCAAATAAAAGCCTCTCTGTTCTATTCTATTTTATTCTATTAGTTTGTGGTCCTCACATGTCAAAAACTCAACAGTCGAGGTTCTTTCCAAATATCCAAATATATTACAAAGTTACTCAGTACAGATCTGTAAAATCTAATAGCTGAAGTTTCCTGGAAATAAATTAATAATTTTTTATTGAAAACTTCATGTTATTTATTTTTTATCTGTAGACAAATTCCACATTGTCTTGCATGTAATGGTTTATGTTTTAATACAGTTACAGTTACATTTACAGTTACACTAGAAATGAACAGGAATGAATTCATAGTGAGGATGAGAGTGAACTAATTTAACTCTTATATTTACTGTCTGTGGATTTTTGGAGCCAAACGTTGCCAAAAACAAACCAAAAGCACAGAGCTCCATTCTACTGGAGTGAACAACAACCAACTGCTGCAAACCTCAACCACCGTCACTGAAACAACCCGCTAAACGATGAGGTTTAAAACTCCTGTTACAGAGTCAACGGCCGTGCCTGCTCCCCTATCAAGCTGTACTGCTTTGATGCCCTATGCTAAATGCTAACTTTAGCATCAGCATACTCACAATGGCAATGTGGACATGCTGATGTTTAGCAGGCATAATGTTTACTATATTCACCACCTAATCTTAGCATGTTAGCATGATAGCATTTGCTAATTAGCACTAAATACAGAGAATAGCCGAGGCAGCAGAGGTTATATTACACAAACTAAAAATCTAATCTTATGGAGCTAAAAGTCATTAGGATTGGGGTACATGAATTCCCAAACAACATTTTATGGCATTCAGTCCAACACTTCATAATGTTTCCCTAAAAAACTAAAAGATCAGAAGCCAGATTGATTCATCCGTGAATGTTTTACAAAATTTCATCCAATAGTTACAGATACAATTCCGTCTCAACCAGAGTGGTGGCAAAGAATGATCACAGTTTCAGATTTGACTTAAAGGTCCGAGTCCATCAGAACTAAAATCACCAGTTTGAACTTAACAATTCCTTTTTGTCTCTTTCTAGAGAAAACCATCTCGACATGTCGCTCCTCACCCACCTGCTGGCGTGTCTGTTCGGGATGGGATCCTGGGTGTCCATCAACGGCCTGTGGGTGGAGCTTCCTCTGATTGTCCCTCAGATCCCAGAGGGCTGGTACCTGCCCTCGTACCTCTCAGTCCTGATCCAGATGGCCAACGTCGGGCCTCTCTTCGTCACCCTGATGCATCGCTTCCGGCCCGGCGCCCTGAATGAGACCGCTGTCATATACGTGATCATTGGCCTGGGGACTGTGGCCAGTTTCCTGTTGGGTTTCTTCTGGAAGAAGACGCTTGTGGTGGCAGGTGGTCCCCACAGTGTAGCCCTCCTCGCCTTAACCTTCTTCCTCGCTGCTGTTGACTGCACCTCCTCCGTCACCTTCCTGCCCTTCACGATGCGCCTCAAGCCTCAGTATCTGACCACCTACTACATTGGGGAGGGTGTGAGCGGCCTCCTGCCGGCATTAGTGGCTCTGATCCAGGGTGTTGGGGTGGTCCACTGCATAAACAGCACACAGTCTCTGAACCACACCATGAACTCCTCCAGCAGCTCCGTGACCTTTGACCTCCAGGCCCAGTATCAGCCAGCAAACTTCTCTGTTGAGGTGTTCTTCTTCTTCCTCAGTGCCATGATGCTGGTGTGTCTGGTGGCTTTCCTGCTGCTGAACC